TACATTATCTTCTTCTGCCTCTGCACAGGGAGCCGCTCTGTTGATTGCTGAGAGCCATAAATAAGCTGCTTATTCCTCCCTCTGTCGTTCTGTGGATATCTATTTTGTTCCCATAGCCATGGAAGCTCTTGGTTTTTGGGGAAAGGAGGCATTATCTATCATCTATTCTTTTGGTCAACTTCAAGGTCTGCACCTGGGTCTTGACCCTAAGGATACCACTCGCCACCTTTTTAAAGACTCTCGGTTGCTTTATGGAATTTACATGTATTTTATTTTATTTTAGCTCTCTGTTCCATTTAGCTTTTTACATGTAGGTTTTGTTTCTCTTTTGTCTTTCTTATGGGCTTTCCCTTTTTGTCTCTCTCTTTTGTGCTTCCTATTGTGTTTGTCTTTAGAATAATAATAATAATTATTATTATATTTGTACATGTATATGTATGTTAGGTAGTGACGAGATGGTATGAAATAAGATAAAAGAAAAAAATTCTTCCTTAAGCTCAACAATAATTTGTTGCTATACAATGATGTATTAGTGTACTAAAATGATACTACTACTAATAATGATATATTCTTTATTGATACAGTATCTGATCCAGCTAGTGGGTTATTTCAGCATTACAGTGTTAGGCTGTCAGTAGTGTCCATCAGTGAGGAGTCAGTTGATCTGTTATTTACAGAGGGACTGATATCAAATGAGACCAGGACTGGAGTGGAGAGTGTTGGGGGTTTCCTATTAGGAGACACACTGAGAGAAATACGGACTTCAATAACTGAAAATCATAACAAATTGAGAACATTAGGAGACATCTTACTGAAATCAGATGAAGCAAAGACTATAGGACAAGACATACTAAAAGAATGTGGTAATATAAACACACACATACATTGTATATTGGTTCAATTGTTAGTATTTTTATCATATTTTCAGGTGAATTGCTTCCCAAATTTGATGATACATATTCTACTGTTAGTTCACCAGTACCTTCATTGGTTACTAATAATGATATTGCAGTACTATCAGGTATAATGATTAAAGTGATGTAATTGTTATTAATTATTATTATAGATACACCTATTCATAAGACACGATCACTGGCTTATATTTTTATTATTTCTTTGTTTTTCTCTTTTATTATTCATATTTTTTATTATTTTTCTATTGTTATTTTTTTACTAGATTTATTCATACTCTTTATAACATTATTATTTTATTATACAATATTTTTTACTAATGCAAGTGAACCAGGCTCATCTGTTGCTCCAATATCAACAGGTAACTTTAGTAGATAAATTATTGTTATGATGATTGTTGAGAACAGTTGTTGTAATTATATAGCATTTTATTTTTTGTTAGGCCCATTCTTCTTCAGTGCAGCTCATAAACCTATTTTTAATGAGATAAGAGGTAGCTTTGGTATCCTCCATGATAAGATAGTTCCATTGATATCTCGATCAATTCCATCAGTCACAGAAATGAAGTCATTTCTTCAAAGATCCTTCCCTGAATTGAGTGCTGAGCTATCTAAAGCTGATAGTATTGAAGGCATTATGAATGTTGTAGTGAAGAATTGTCGAGTTAATGACATTTCAGTGATAAAAACAATTGTGCTACGGTTTGAAATCACTGAAGCAAAACCACTGATTTCGGAATATGAAGACAAATTGAAGACACTTAGTGGATCATTAAAAAACTTCCTGAGTCTGAATGAACCTCAACATCTTAGTGATTCAAAGACAATTCAGTTTACTTTGGGATGGGAACCAGATGACCACTCACTTGATGACATACGTAATCTCTTAGAGGAAGCATTTAAAGAATTAAACAAGAGGATTATTGTACGAAGCATTCATCGTGGGAACTCCATCACCATCATCTGTTATGCTCCATATCATTTACTAGCTGCTCTTCTCTTGGAAGCACAAGACAACCTAACTGTCTTGATGAAAGAATTCAGTTTAATTAGACTAACCATTGGCCACTACACTGTCAATGATAAAAAGATCAGATACAAAGTATAAGATACTGTAACTGTATGAGACCTTGTTTAATATTATGTACTGATTATAGGTAATGAATAATGAGTGTCTTGCAGAGGAGATTAAACTAGCTGATGGAGAGGAACAAGAACTGAGGACTTCACTTGATTACAAAGAAGGTGTGTGAGTTGATCTATTACTCAATATTGATGTTACTTATACTAATGGTATAGTATCAATATTTGAACAAGATAAACAACTGAATATCATCAAAAAAAGAAAAGGTATAGTTAGAATAATAAAGATATTTTATTAATGTATTTTTACTTGTATAGAGTATATTGAAGGATCAATACAGACACCAGGTACACGTATAGTTTTATTTTTACATGTATTTAGTTTTACATGTATAGTATATATTTTTGAACAATCAGTAATTTATCTTATAAATTAAAATTCTCATTGTGTCATTACTGTAGAATCTAAATTAAAAGTGAAGCTATTGACTAGAGGGAAGTTGATAAGTACAATATTCAAATCAAAGAAATCAGAGACTCAATATTTCCGAACCTCTCTCCTAATGAAAGCAGGTACTGACTCTACTGGTATAATCTGTCTATACTACCTCATCACAGAAAGAGAGGAGGCATTAGTAAAGTATAAGAAAGATATTGAATTAGTACAAAAGAATATATCAATAACTAGTGAACTACTGCTGATGGGTCAAAAAACAAATATTGAGAGTATGTGATATGTTAAATCATTAACTGATTGATATATTGTATAGAGAAGGATCAATGTACACAATCACTGGATGCAACAACAGCAGAAGCTATTTACACAGCACGTATTGACTATCATGGAATATATAGTAATGATCTTTCATTCAGTGAGGGAGAGCAGCTGAAGATGTATAAGAAGTCTGATAGATTTAAGTGGCAAGGAAAATCCTTGGTGTCTGGTGATGAGGGAGACATTCCTAGCAGTTGTGTTTACTCAATGTTGGAGTCGCTTCAATTGTTAGAGTTTATACTGTCAGTGGAAGAAGTGTCCCTTCCTATTCTACAAAAGATAAGGAATGATTCATCTAGTAATGATGAGAAAGCTTCTCTTTTCTTGGAGACTATTAATGATGATCCTATTATGATATCTGCACTGAGACAAGACAAGGAACAACATGATGAAGGTAATGTTTGTGATTATTGTCACTATAATCATGTTGATATTAAGTAGTTATGTGTGTTAAATTATCATACATACATAATAATGTACATACATGTCAATGCTGTTACACTTTTTGCATCTCAGTATGTTATACTTCATTAACTTATTTATTTTCTGAATTAATTTTATATAACCTTAATAAGTTGGTGTGGTCAACGTATCAATCCAAATTCCTTCAAAATTATGATACCGATACAAATTGATACTGTAAATATTGTTTTCATTGATAAAAATATTGATATATCACAACCACTAAGTACTATAGTGTGTGGGTGTTTGCAGTTCTGCCTTTGATACACCCACACACTATAATACAATTGTTTATTGATTTTAGTAACAACAAGTAAGTTGTGTGTGTTTGTATATACACATGATGCAAATAATGTGTATTATTATGTACATACATGTATATCAGTATAATCATTTTGTTTATATTAGGAGGCACTGTAAGAGTGAACTGGTACAGTGACAAGGTATACCTTCACTCTCCATCTCCAGTTCAGTGTAATGAAGTGATTGGTAATATTAATGATAATCATAAGAGGATTGACCTCCGCTCCTCATCTACTAATAGCACAGCATCTCTACTATCATCAACTAAACTGCATACACTAAACCTGAGGAGTCTTGAGATACGGTATACTCCATTAACTAACGATTGTATCCAGTACTTGTGTATACTACTAACTAATAATAAAACAATACAAGAACTAGTCATCAGGTCCCACTCCATAAGTGATAGAGGAGCTACTAATATCTGTCAAGCACTTGAACACAACTCTATACTTACCTCATTAGATCTTTATTATAATCCACTCATCACTTCTACTAGTGGACAGACTCTTTCTCACCTCCTCCTCAACAACTCATCACTAGTTGTACTAGATCTAAGGTATACTTCATTGTCTACTGAGTCAATACTACTCATCCTCCAGTCACTTATGAATAATAATAATATAAGAGAACTCAGGCTAGACAAGCGACACAAAGAGACTTGTATTACTTATCCTAACTATCACCTCATACAAGACAGAGTAGACTGGTACTAATCACTATTTACAATGTTTGTAAACTTGTGTATCATTGCCAAAAACAAGCGACCAATCAAAATACACTACATATAAAAGGCTGATGTGTAATTTTTATTCATTATTTTTGATATACATTATTTTATAATCTCGTTCTCATCAATTAGCATGTGATTCACTTCTACTAGTCCCACCCACAAAAAGTGACGGCAAATCTTCAAGACAACCACTCTATCATTTCCCTCTACCGTAGGGCGCCTTTTTTTCGAGGGCTATAAATTTCGCGGATTTCGCGATTTTTTAAAGATTCGCAAAAATTACTTTCGCGAAAATCAAATCAATACGGTACAAGATGGCAGACGGCATAAATTCGCGAAAATTAAATCCGCGAAATAAAAATCCACGAAATTTATAGCCCTCGAGAAAAAGGCGCCCTACGGTATTTTATCATTGTTGATCTCTAAATTAATTTTTAGCCAGAAATTTTTTGGCAAATGAAATACAACCCTCAGATTTAACATTAAAAAATGTTTAATATGTGTATGTACATGCACCTCAATCAAATCCTCATGTTCCCCCTCTCTCTCCTTTTTATTCCTCCCCAGGATAAAACTACAGTCCAAGACTACTCTCTTCCCTATTAGCTTAAACTATATAAAGATGACATCAAGAAGATGGTCCCTGATTCTGCTCTAAGGTCATACAAGAGTAGGTTTGTTGAGCCATCACTCATTGAGGGATTCAGTGAGATTGTCAAGATAAAAATATCTCTTCATTTTCCAAACAAAACGGCAGAAGATCTATACATGAGGTTTTGGGACTAACAAAAATAATCATTATTTTTATTATTAATACAAAAAATGTCAAAACTACTACAAAACATATACATGTATAAATAATAATAATAATAATTGCATGTATATTGTAATAATATAAATTTACTTTCGTCCGATACATTAAACATAAAGAGTGACAGTGACATTACCCATCAATGAGAGAGAGAGGGTTAAATTCTACAAAAATTTATTATTATTGTTTTTTTCCATTGCATTATTTTCCGGAATTCTTCTTTGCTCTTCGTGCAAGGATTGGATTGTTAGCATCTGCTACTTTCTTTATTTTTGATGGCTCGTCAGCAACTCTCATTGTAGCTAGTGCATGTGACATTTCATCCTATTAATAAAATAATAATAATAATAATAGTTCCAAATCAAATTTGAACCTTGCTACTATTTTCAAAAATTACAAAATTTAGAAAAAACTCTCTTTCTCTAAAACAATAATACAAGCTTTTAACATGTACATGTATACTCAAACTGTATAGAAATAACAAAATACATGTAGGCACATACGTGTACATGTAAATAAAGTAATGTGACTAATAAAAAGTATTAATCAATAATCACACATACTGTACATGACATGTACTGCATAATGCATATTACTTTACACATATTATACATGTACAGATGTAGCTGGTAATTTTAAGGGATTAGAAATTTGGTAAATTGCTAAATTTATGATGATTGGAAGGTTTTAAATCAGTAAACTTGTGGCCATGTGCCTTTGAGCATGGGCATTAGTGGTTCAAAATGGTGAGTTGAACTTTGGTGAACGGGTGTCATAAGAAAATGTAATAACAATTGGAGGTGATTTTGAAGCCATTTTTGAAAAAGGCCAAATTTTGAAAAGTGGCCCATTAAAAATTATCATAACTCAAAAAATATTTGTCAGAATCAGTTCAAACTTTCTACATAGCATAAGTACTGTATTTCCTCGATTACTAGCCATGGCTACTATAAATTTCAGCTCAAGTCGACAGGGGCTACTATTCGAGGGCGGCTACTATTTCTCTCCTAGCAAACATGTGGCCGGCCACGCCTGCACGTGACCGCACCCATCACTCACCATGAGTGCGCACCATTGTGTAGAAATCGAGCTAAACGTTTGGAGACATGGAAATTGAGAGTGTTGTCAGAGGCCACCATGTCTACAAGGCAATATGGAACCCAGTAATAGGAGAGAAACTATAGGTCTTGCCAGAAAACGACAACAAGCACTCGAACAAGTGCACGTGGCACATTAATTAATTAAATTTTAATTAACTGCAGCTTCTATTAGAGGGCGGCTACTATTACAATAGCTGCAAGCACAAATGGGGCTACTATTTGGATGCGGCTACTATTCGAAGGGCGGCTTAATCAAGGAAATACAGTACATTAATATGCATTTAAAAATGTAATAAAAATTGGGAGTGATTTTGGAGCCATTTTTTTTGGAAAAACCATGGGCTGTTATAATAGTACAGTTAAAAAGAGAACTGAGCCCTTAAAATAATTTTATTAAAAAGAGAAAAGAAAGAACAATAAGGAAGTTAGATAAGATAGAAAAACAAAGTTAAAATAAATAATAATTAATCACAAGTTAAGTTTATAATAATTAATCAAAAGTTAAATCAGGCATCAGTAATGGCCCTTGCATAATAGTACAGGGAAATTAAAAAATTGGCCCATTTTTAAAAAAAGATCATAACTCAAAAGAATTATTATTTGTCAGAATATTTGTAATTACAGTTTATACAAGCACATAAGTGATAACCACAATACTGCAACCCACAATAGATTTTACAAATAACACTGCTTATAAACCTACAGTCAACTCTACTAAGACATCTTCTACTCTTGGTGACATACAAGTTTACAATTTTTGAACGGGTTATAAATAACTATAACCCTGAAATAAAAGTAAAATTTAAGAATCAGCTCAAACTTTCTGCACAGCATAAAAACATTAATATGCATAAAAAACATAATAAAAATTTGGGATAATTTTGGAGCCATTTTTGGAAAAAACAATGGATCATACCGTACGGTTGGTAATATTCGAGGGTCCAAAATTTCGTGTTTTCTCCAAAATGTCCTTAGAAGCTAATATTCGTGGGTACAAATATTCGTGGGTGGTAGTAAGCAAACTTCTTTTCACTTGGATCTGCTGGACTAGCTTCCAACACATGGCTTATGGTGGAATATGGAGTAACAGACAAAAACTCTGGCTCCTCTACTGGCTTGAAAATAGTAGTTAGAGCTCTGCATGGCCCGTTAATTAGCTTTTATCTGTGGGTGGGTAGGGGTTAAAATTTCGTGGATAAAAATAAACCACGAAATTAACGAAAATTAATACCCCATGAAATTTACCAACCGTACGGTACTTTGCTTTTTTCAAAAAATTGGTTCGTTTCCTTAATTATCATAACTCCATCCTATCTCCTATGGAGTACTATTGCCAAGAAGCCGTACAATATCATATTAGAAAAAAATGCAAAATTCGTCAAAATCTCCCCCTCCAAATTACCACCTGTATGCATGTATGTACATGTATATGTACATGTAACAGTTAAAATTAAACTAGTACGTGTAGTGTAATCTGATTATAGTAGGAGGCATACATATTTGGTCAACAAATATGCACTCCTAATAAAAACAAGCAACTTACTAACAACTACAAGTAATTATAATAATAATGAGTGAGCAAATATTACGATGACAATGCAACTGATACACAAACAAATACACTGCACACTGCATGCATGTACATTGTACATTACATATAAGTGTACACTGTACATGTACAGTGTGGTACATGTACACATAGAATTATGTTATGCATGTCATCATTACAAGGTGCCAAAATCATCATGAAAGCAAACATAAAAACACTCCTAAAAGGTCACTATATTAAAAAAGCTGTTTAAATGCTGCCATATACATGTACATGTATACATTGTATACGTGTACATGTAGCTGGAAATACATGTATTAGCTAGGACTTAATTTTACAGTTTTACAGTTCATAATAAAATAATTCCACAAAGCACTAATAGTTAATGGGTGTGTATCAACAACTCATGCCTACAGTCACCATCAAAATTTAATTCATCATACATTAAAATTTTCGCTCCAATTGTACAAAAAGTGCATACTGTATATGCCATATACCATACAGAAGGAAATTTTGGAGGGAATAAATTTTGGCAAATTGATAAATTTTGGTGATTGGAAAATTTTAATTTGGTGAATTTGTGGCCATGTGCCATTGAGCATGCGCATAATGGCTCAAAATGGTGGATTTTTATTTTGGTGAATGGCTATCAAAATGCCAAATTCACCAAATTTAACTACCTCCAATATTTCCTTCTGTATGGTATTTCACAGGTATAAAATTTCGCAATTTGGCTGCATTTTTGTATCCGCAAATAAAAATTTCACGATTTTAATGTAAATACCACACCTACTATATAATCAGCACGCTATTTTACAGATTTTAATTTTGGCAAATTTTTTTCCAAAATGCAAAAATTGCAAAATTTAATCCCCACAAAATACACTGTATATGGCGGCGCATACGGTAATAAATAAATTTAAGCCCGGCAAATAATTATTTCTGTATGTTGTAACACACAAAATGAATACCTGAATGTCAGGCCATAGTTCCTTGTCATCTTGTAATACTTGAATACAGGCCAATGGGGTCTGAGGAACCTCTTGATATCCCTACAAATAATTTAATAAATCAATTTTTAGTAACACAAATAATGTAATGACTAATGATACTATTTATTAAAAAACTTTTTTTTTGTACAATGTCAATGTGTGCTACACAGTACATATGTTCTTGTGCCAGTTTATTTTTAGTAACATTATGACTACACATACAGTATGCTATTTGTCCCCATAAGAAATACAAAGAGTCTGTTTAATAACACACATAATGTAATGACTATAATGAATGTAATGACTATAATGAATGTAATGACTATAATGAATGTAATGATACTATTTATAGTAACACAATGATGAATCAAATTTCTCTTTTGCAATGTCAATGTTTGTTACACATGATTCTTGTGCCAGTTTATTTTTAATAACACAACATTACATCATACTATTCTATCAATAGTAACAACTCACAGCAATCCAACGATGACGCAATACATCATCAATGGTGAATCTGTCAGCTGGGTTGGTCTTTAATAATCCTTTAATCAAATCCTTAGCTACAACAACAATAATAACAAACCGATAATTAGTGGTCTATACTATAGTTAATGGTAATATATATACATGTACATGTACTGTAACTCAAGAACACCATATAGCAGAAAATTTCCGTGACCCAAAAATTTTGCGGATCCAATCAAAAATCAATTTTGTGGGTTTAATTTTCGTGGTTTTCTAGTTTTCAGCCATCTTGAACCATATTGAATCAATTTTTGCGGTTTTTATTTTAGTGGGTTTTGAAAAAAAAACACAAAATCCACAAAGATTTTGGGCCAAAAAATTTTCCGCTATACAGTACTCATTAGTGTAATATATATTATACAGTGCACCATACAGCAGAAAACTAAATTTTGGTGACATGCTAAACCTTGGTGATTGGAATTTACATGTATACGTACATTGTACATGTAATTTTGGTAAATTTGTGCCTATGTGCCATTGAGCATACACATAATGGATCAATATGGTGGACTTTTAATTTGTCGAATGGCTATAAATTTAACTCCTAAAATTGCTTGCTACATGGTACATGTAGTTGAAGGGCTACTAATCAAGTAAACTATATGCACATCTAGCAATTACATTAATTTTAATTTTAATGGTATTCACATAATTGCATTAAAAAATATCTTTGATTGAGATTTGCAAAGTTGCAAAGCACAGCCCCCTGCCATACATACAGTACATACTGTATGTATGTGTAGCTATGGTAGTACTGTTGGTACATGTACATTTAGGTCTTCTTTATCAAATTAGGGTTATGATAATATTTACCTTGCGATGAGACATTAGTCCATTCAGGATCAGGGAAGCCATACTGTCCCTGCCTTATCCTCTTCTTCATGCCAGGGGATATTGGAGCACCTCCATAACTGTAAAATGGGGGGAAACCACACAACCTAAGGGAGGGAAAGAGAGAGATAAGAATCACATATACTTGTATATTGTATATACAGTACAGTATACATGTACATGTATGTACAATGTAGTAGAGGAATGATTAGAAGTACATGTAAGAGAATAAGGAAGGCTGAGAGGGACTAAAGGAGGGAGAGAAGGAAAGAGGGAAGAGAGAAAAAGATGCATCATAGTACACACATGTTTACGTAAATAGAGAAAAGATAGAGTAATAGAAAAAGGGAAAATACAACAAATACACAATGAAGAGAGAGATTCCACAGATAAGAGATTAATTACTATACACATTCACTATACACGTATGTTTGTATAATTAGCATCGTGTAACAATAAGAGAGAGAGAGAGAGAGAGGGGGGGGAGAGAGGTACAGTGTTTATACACAATGTACATATACATGTATCATAGTTCTGCCTATGGTGGTTGGAGGTGGTCAGGACAACCACCTCAACAAATTAACCAACCAGTTCATCACTTAGACCAACCATCCCATTAATACTACATAAAGCATGATATTGTAGTCTACTAGATAATTCAAAAGGAAAACAGCCTCTAATTTTTTCTAGGCAGAACAATGCATCATGTGTGACAATAAGAGAGAGAGGGAGAGAGAGGGAGAGAGAGGTATATGTATGTACATGTACATGTACAATGTATTATTCTCCCTCACAGTATGTATGTTATAACTCCAATGGACCACATGTCACAGGATGTGTCATACTTCTCTGGACCTAAAACTTCAGGAGCTAAAAGAATACAATAACAAGAAGCAACAATAACAAACTGGACCTACCAACATAGTATGGAGTGTAACAAGGTGTTGTGAGTGCTTTGGAGCCGTGATTCTCTTTAGCAAATCCAAAATCAGTTAATTTTAGTTTAGCACTAGGAGTTTTATCACTGTAGAGTAAGTTCTCAGGCTATACACAATAATAATAATAAAATAATTATTATACTAGGCTTTTGGCTAAATCAACAGCATTATTATTAGATTTTATTATTTGGTTGCGGTTGTTGTTGATAACAATAAAATAAAAAGGCATGCAAAGGCTTGTACATGTAAATGAATGTATACTTTATTAAAAAATACACATAAACTCAAGAAAATTCCCTGCATAGCACAAATTACAATTAACATGCTGCATAAGTGGTTTTTTTCAAGGGTTGCAAATTTTGCCGATTCCTTCCTGATTCGCAAAAATCAATTTAATATGGTACTGTCATGGCACGTGGTAGAATTCACACAAATCAAATCCGCAAATTTGGAATTTCAGTAGATTTTGCAAAATATAATTCCCTAAACAGTAGTATACACCGCTTATATGATACATGACATTCTGAAGCAGTCAGTCAGTATAGCATCTCTCTATTAGTGACATACCTTAAGGTCACGGTGAGCTATATCCATATGATGCAAATGAGCCACTGCCAGTGAAATACACCTAACCACTTCAGCCGCTTCTAAATAATGCACACCAACCACATTAAAAAGTAACTTTTAAGTGGTAATCAACCATATACCTCTCTCGGTAAAGTGTCCTTTGTCTTGTATTCTATCAAAGAGTTCACCTCCTTCCATACTACACAATGTAGAGAAATAATAATATAATAAAAATTGTGCAGATCAGTCATGGATGATTACATGTACTGGTACATGTATGTACATAACTGACAGTGGTAATCAGTTGCAAAGCATTTATCATAATTTTCATTAATAGCTACAATAGATACATGTACATGTACATGTTAATGTACATGTAAAGTATCCAAGTTATCTCATTATACCAAAAAACTTGATCAGTTTTGGTAACAGGCCATTTTGTAGGCACCATTCAGTTCCATACATGTACATGTACAACTTCAATGAAAAATGCTTACGGTACAATATTCTATTGTGAAGAATTGATATTGACAAGATTAGAATACATGTACATGTAAGTATGCAACTACACAATACTAACTACTAGCTACATGTATTTTATTAATTAATCATTAATAGTCCCCAGAGATAAAAACAGTTACAATGTATCTCCTTAACAGCTTAGTAAGGTCAATAATTTACTAATCAACAGTCATGTAATACATGCAATTGTACATGTACAATGTATATCATAGATATTATGCATGCATGTACATACAATTTCTTGTGCTATTATTATAATGCGCTGTTATCTTAATGACTCACCATTCCATTACCACTAGTAAGCTCCTATGTCCCATGAACACGTTCTCATACACATCACAAATGTTGACAATATTCTCATGGGAACATGAACGCCAGTGGAGATCAAGCTCACGACGTGACTTTGGATTCTCTCTTAATATCTGAGAAAATAAAAGAGAAAGAATAGAAAAATATACATGTATCTTATAGCTGGAAAATTTGACAGTCTGAAACTTTGGCAACTTTGCATCAAATTGCCTATGGCGATTTACTATCTTGTCTTTTCTTTAAGTACTTATTTTGAACCGCCAATCTTCCAAATTAACTCTCTGCCAAATTTTCTGGATATACAGTACATTGCACACATATATATGTAATAAAATGACTCATGCATGTGTATTGTAATCAAACAGCATAACCTCCTAACCTTCAATGCTCTTCTTTCGCCGGTTGCTTTGTGTATACACTCCAGCACTTTACCATTGACCCCCACGCCGAGTGAACGGGTCAATATGGTGTAGTCTCCAGTAATGGCGTGCTTCTTTGGAATCAGGGGCTTCTGAGCTGACGGGACGTGAGCAGCAAAGTCAGGGGGAGCTTTGCCTGTTAACGGATGAGATGACATGACGGGACAGCCTGGAACAAGAAATAAGTAAAGCTAAGATAAGGCAGTGAAAAACTCGAAAGAATAGCTCTAGCTCTAGCTCTTAGGTATGAAACCACACCTACATATACATTATGCACAATCACGTGACAAAATGTTAAAATAACTTAATAACCAGCCCCACCTTTATCTGCAGAGCTGGCTTAAGTCTTTTATTTGTCTCTTCTAGTCCTCAACATAGATAATCTATAATACCAGCCCCACCCTTATCTGCAGAGCTGGCTTAAGTCTTCTATTTGTTTCTTCTAGTCCTCAACATAGATAATCTATAATATTACATATCAAACTTCAATATAGGTAACAGCTTAGTGTGCACTATGTTTGCTAGTCTGGTTTCCAGACTACTTTTTGCATGTTAAACATGAATTTATACCGTCTATCTGGAAATTTTTACTGTGATTTTAATTTTACTGGATTAGAATTTCGCAAAAAATTAGATTACCCATATAATTACATGCCACATTCGATAATACATAACACAGTCTTATTTAGTAAAAATTAAATCACAGCACAATTTTAAAACACAAAAATTTTGTACCACACTAATTTCCTGATCTATGGTATTTGAATTGATTCATAAAAAACTATTGAGATATAGTAGTTTAATAAATTTCAAAAAGTTCAAAATTTTAAAATAATGTCCAATTTTTGTGTTTCCAGTTATACAGTATTTACATGTATTACTTAATTATTTAATAAAGTGAAAAATGATTCGAAGTCCTTGAGACAGTCTGACTATAGCTCTAAAGAAAGAAATTAACTAAATATTATTAATTAACAGCTAACCTGATTTATTAGTCTTCGTCCAAGCAGTTTTAGGTTATATCAAAATATCAAAAAAGGTACACTGATGGACATTATCTTCTAACACTAAAAGAGGGTGAAATTGATATAAAAGGGGATGCATGTGCTTAGTGAATGTGATCAGGGTTTCCCACAAAAATGCTAAGTGAGCTAAAAGCATGCTTTATCATGAGCTGACAAGCACTACGATAGTACATGTACATGTAAATGGCTTTGGGGCAACTTAAAAATTTATAAAAATTCAAATATGGCATGAAGCAGCTCAAAGCTTATACACAAGGTATAAGGACATGTATCTAATATTTATTTGTCCTTGACATTTTCAGTGAAATTTGGCCAAAAATCCTATACTATAGTATCAAAAGCAGATAAACCATATGTTTAGTACATATTGGCCCCATTTTGAGTAACGTTAAAAAAAAACTAATTCTGACTTAAAATAAGCTCAAAACTTGCTCAACATAAGAACATGTATATCTACATGCATCAGAAAAAATTTTGAATTTTCTCCTAGTCATGCATCTTTGGCAAAATCTGTACTGTAGTTCAGGGACTTTGGCCTAATTTTGGAACAAATTAGAAAATTTGTACAAAATCCTCAGAATCAGCTCAAACTTTTTACACAACATAAGAACTGACATGTATTTGTATCAGAAAAAATTGTAAAGTGGAGGAGTTTTTCTTTTCATTTTTGGCAAAATTCAGCCAATGATCCTGTACTATACATTTGCAAAAAATTCAATTTGAATGAGAATCAGCTCAAACTTGCTACACAACATAGAAATATAAATATGCTCACAAAAAATTATAAAAGTAGATAATGCTCTCCTTTTCATTTTTGGCAAAATTTGGCCTATAATTTAGCAACTTAAAAAATTTGTAGAAATATAATAATGATTGGAATCAGTTCAAAGATTCTACACAACATAAAAACATGTATATGCATCAGAAAAAAACTTTTAAAAATGAGAAATTCTTCTAGTCATTTTTGATGAAGATGAGCTAAGCACATACTATATTTTAAATAACTTATAAAAATTATGAATATCAAAATCAGCCCAAATATGCTATATGCATCATAAACAAGTATAAAATGGAAAATTCTCTCCTAACAAATTTTGAGCAAATCTGGATGTGGTCTTACCTGGTAATTGTTTCACTGATAGGTACATAAAATTGAAATATTCACTTCATAACTGATAGACATCAATGGGTCACCCTGTACTTCAATGCATGGCCTTCAGTTGAAGTTAAAATGGTTGATCTGAAATATTACAAAATATAAGGACATTTATATATACATGTATTGGACAATGACATGAGACAGAGTTTTCCCCAAAAACATGCTACATGTACAATGTATAAGTGAGCTAAAGGACATGTTTTATGAGCTAACAAGCACTATTATGCTTGTATACCAAACTACCAATTGAATAGTACATGGCTTTAAAGCAACTTAAAAATCTAATTTTGATCAAAACTGGCTCAACATTCCTATGCAATGTAAGTATATGCATCAGAAAATTGTTTTAAAAGAAGAAATCTCTTTTAGCCATTTTGACAAAATTTGCTGGGGCAACGACAAAACCCTTGGGTCAATTGCTGGCCCAATTTTGAAGCAACTTCAAAATTCACTAATTAAATCAAAATAAACTCAAAGTTGATACACAACTTAAGGACATGTATATTAATCAGTAAAAATGTAACAAAAATTAAGAGTAATTTTGGAGCCACTGGGTATTTTTTAATTTTGATTTTAAAATGTCCATAAATCAAAATCTTTTAATAGAAATCAGTTCTAAATTTTTACATAACATAAGCATATCAATGTGTATCATAAAATGTATTATTGTGGGTGATTTTTGGAGCCATTTTTGGAAAAAAGCATATGGGCGATAGTACAGGCTATTCTCCGGTAGTCTCACCCCGCCCCTTTGCTTACCTGCGGCGCGCGCAGGTAAGCAAAGGGGCGGAGCGAGCTAATTCTCCGGAAAATTAGCCAATTCTTTTAAAATGGCCACAACTCAAAAAATGTTAGTCAGAATTAACTCAAACTCATAAGGACATCAATACATGCATGTATCAAAAATTAATGATAATTTTGATGCAACATGAACTACATGCAGTGCAGGGTAAAGTGGCATATTAAAATGCTTGTAACACTAACTAAAAACAATACTTACTTTGAAAATAATTGTCTTTCTACATTCCTTTTTGAAATAGACTACTAGAAATAAAATTGATAATTGCTAGATATAAAAATATTATCATGTTGTGAATGTTTACTAAGTTCCTTTGTAAGCTCATTTAAACTTACCAAAACAATATCACATCAGTGTCTAGAGAAACTAGATCTAGCCCCTCCCTCTTTAGATCTACTCCAAATTTGCATCCGGTTAGCTTCAGCTTGTTCTTTGATCAATGGCAACTACAACCAGTTCTTGTTCCTCTTCTATGAGTCTCTTCTCTTCTCCTTTGACTATTGGTAATGTTCATTAACTATCTATGTCTCATTAAATACGAGTATGATCTTAGATAATAGAGTAATAGTTTCATCAGTTTACTCTAATATCTATGGTATGATTTTAGGTCAACTTATTGATGTACTTCAGTAATCTGTTGAAAAGATGTGGTTTCCCTCAGACAAGATGGAGGGCACTAGGACTGAGACTAGGACTACTCAAGAACACACTGGACGTCATTAAAAGGGACAATGACACAACAGATGATTGTTTAACTGAATGCCTCTCCCAGTGGTTGTCCAGAGCTGATAATGTTAACTTTAAAGGTGGAACTACCTTTGACTCACTGTCAGATGCTCTTAAATCTATGAATGAGAATGCCGCATCTGATAGAATAAATCAAGAGAGTAAGTCAATATCGATCACTGATTGTATTAGTATTGACTGTGTGTGTATTCTATAGAATGTAAAGCTAAGGCTATTGATATATTCAGCACTCATCATCCACTCCTCTCTCAGTCTCTCTCTGATCCTGTCAGTGTAGCTATTATGCTTCAAAGAGAGGGTGTCATATCAAGACAAGCATTGGCTACTGTGGAATCAGCTAGTCCCTCTGTTCCTAATCAACGTAAAGTCCTGTTAGCTGCCATTAGAGTAGCTATTCAAAGCAAGTATAGTTTACTACAAACATTTGCTAGTGTATTGTGCAAGTTCACTGGTAATGCAAAAATAGGAACAGTTATACAAAAAGACTATAGTAAGCTAAATGTAGATTTATGTTAGTTTTATTGCTGTTTTAATTTTAGATACACAATTTTCTACTGATGATTTTGTTAATATTGAAATAAAAGAAGGTATAATAATAATAATAATAATTTTTTTATCAATTACCGGGGTATTATTCTTTTTAGATTCAAGCACTGGAACAATCACACCATCATCACCTCACACACTAACTGCACTAACAGGTACATGTACATGTACATGTACCTCATTGATAATTAAAATGATTAATATTATGATTAATCCTTAGTTGAAATTCCTGTTCGAAAGAGTAAATCAAGAGAATTCAGTTCAATAAGAGCTTCACTGGCTAGAATGATATTTAAAGTGTCCAAAGCTATCACACAGAAATCTCCACCTCTGATTGACCTAAAGTCTCTCATTTGTCTCTTTAATTCTGATCTAAAAGGAAAGCTAGCTGAGTGCAATGATATATCCAGTGTAGTGCATGTGATTGAAGGAGAGTGTTCATTGACTGATATTGAACTGTTAGAAACTGTAGTTGAAGAATTTGAAGTCACTGAAGCTGAAAGATACATTGAACAATACAAGACATCATTGGAAGGGTTCTGTCACTCAATTTCGATTGATCTTTGCTTGAAGGAGAAGTTTGATGCTGTCAATACAAACCCTTCTCTTAAATGTGAAACAGCAACATTTGTCTTGGACTGGAGACCTGATGAGAAGAAATTGAAGGATATTACTGACATTCTTTCCGAAACATCCGGTAAATTTGTAAAGATAAAGTATATTGATACTGGATACTCCATTGTGGTCACTTGCTCGTTCCCTCACTCTCTCACTGGAGTTCTCATCATAAAATTGAGTGAGAATCTTGAATTATTAATAAAGAATGGTCTAATGAAGCTTACTGTTGGATACTGCACAATATGGAAGAAACGAAAGATACAAGTAAGTGTATATACATGTATACTGTCAGTAATTATCATTATATACTGTATTATAATTAAAGGAAATACAGAAAGCACTGGAAGAGGATGTACCTCATGAGATAAAGGAACAACCTCATGATACAAATGTATAAATAATTTGTGTTTGATTATTTTATTAGACTAACTTAATAGGAAGAGAGAGTAGCAAGACTGGAGAAGAAAGAAACAGAAGGAGCAACACCTCAATCAGCAATTAATCAAGGTATAATAATACACTAATCATTATTGTAATGACCAATATAGTATCATTTGATGAATATTATTGTATTTTAGATATACATGTAGAACAAATTGATATAAGTATGACAATACTTAATACACAATTGAAAAAAGAAATAAAAATGAATAAACAATTAAAAGAAACATTAACAAGTATTAAAAACTTTATTATAATTATAATGAAAGTAATGTAGAAATGAGAGTAAAGGCACTTCAGGAACATGTGTTATTAGCAATAAATACTAGTTCAGGTTAGACTATTAATATTATTGGATTTATTTATCATTTTATTATTGTTTAAAGCATCATACAGCATTAGAAAAGGAATGAGAATGGAAATAGAACAACTGCAATTATTATTCACACATAAAACTGGTATCATTGAATCATAACGTATGTTTTTGTGTGTTTTATATGTAATTACTATGATAGGTTTACTGGATCAGAATAAATCATTAATAAATATTAAAAGGTTAATAGCTGAACTACAAGAACAGATATCATTAATGAGTGTCCATATACATAATAAAAGAGAAGAGAATGAAGAATATAGAGATGTAATAAGAAGTATGTTTCATTATTATATTGATATATTTACTATCACTGGTATAATTATAGTGAATAAGCCAACAGCAGAATCTGTTTTTATTGCTCGTTATGGCTATCGTGCAGTGTATAGCAATCAAATATCATTCAGTAAGGGAGAGGAGCTGGAGATATATGAGAAGCGGAGTAGTTTTTGGTGGAAAGGAAGATCCATAGTGTCTGGTGATGTAGGATACATTCCTAGTAGTTGTGTTTACTCAATGCTGGAGTCGCTTCAATTTTTAGAGTTTATAATGTCTGTGGAGAAAGTGTCCCTTCCTATTCTACAGAAGATAAGGTATGATTCATCTAGTAATGATGAGAAAGCTCCTCTTTTCTTGGAAATTATTAATGATGATCCTATTATGATATCTGGACTGAGACAAGACAAGGAGCAACATGATAAATGTATGTGTAATTATTATGACAGTTATAGTATAATTATTAATTCATGCATTATACATGTATGTATCTCGTGCATGAATAGAGGTTCTACAGTCAAACTTGCATGGCTTGGAACCCAATACTGTCCTGTTTTTAGGCTAATTATGGAAGTGTCCTTATTTCAGAGCTAGGTTTATAAATACACATTTTTAGACTGATTCTGTACCTGTCCTGATTATAACATACATGTCCTTATTAAAGTGTCTATGCACTAGACTGTATATTCATTCAGTCACAAATTTCAAATTTTACTCTGTACAAACATGATGCAAACTGTATGGCTCCATAAAAAGCTCTATATTTTCTTGATACATGTACTTTTAAAATTATTGTGAATTAACCAACATCAAGTGCGCAGTTGTTAAAACAGCAACTAGTAACTTAAATTCTCTTAATTATCAAATTTCACAAATATTTTTGAATTACATGTTACACATGTATGGAAAGTTGCAGCGCCTTGTATGACCACACATTCACACCTATTGTATACCTGTTTTGTTTGAACAAAATAAGTGTATGTGTTTGGTTACGGACCTTTCCCATGCACAACTGAGCATTTAGCAATAAAAAGATGTACAAAAATAAATTGGCAAAATCTATTTTCTGTGCAATGAGCATTAATTTGTGAGCTTGCATTATAAAAAAATTGAAAAGCCACTTTTTCCTATTCATCTCCAGGCCCGTAGCCAGGGGGGGTTCGGGGGGTTCGGACGAACCCCCTGTTGTAGCTGCAAAAAAGTTTTAGATTAGCTCCTGTCATGAAGAACAGCACTGCAAAAGCAGGATTAGCATTTTGGCAACAGCGAGAAGCACAGATAGCCATTTTAGCTGAGTCAGCACATGGCTGAGATGCGCATATGCGTAAATTAAGACCACGCCTACCAACCACGCCCATTTTTGTCAAAATTTTTGCTGCGCGCTTCGCACGCAGCAATTTCCGAACCCCCTATTTTAAGTTCCTGGCTACGGCCCTGATCTCTATATACACAACATGACAGATTGTAAATAATTTTTATTGCTGAACGTTCAGTGTTTATGTAATGTACATGTAAATTTTATGCATTATTATCTAGATTATTTATGAAATGCATGATCCTTTGGTTTATATTAGGTGTCACTGGGAGTGTGGACTGGTACAGTGACAGTGTATCCCTTTACTATCCATCTCCAATTCAGTGTAATGAAGTGATTAGTAATATCAAAGATCACGAGAAGATAGTCCTCCACTTCTCATCTACTAATAGTACAGTAGCTCTGCTGTCATCAACTAAACTGCATACACTAAACCTGAGGAGACTTGTGATATGGACCACCCCATTAACTAATGATTGTATCCAGTACTTGTGTATACTACTAACAAATAATAAAAAAATACAGGAACTAGTTATCAGTAACCACTCCATCAGTGATAGAGGAGTTACCAATGTCTGTCAAGCACTTAAACACAACACTACACTTACCTCATTAAATCTTTTTGATAATCCTCTTATTGTTAGTGGACAAGCTCTTTCTCACCTCCTCAATAACTCATCACTAGTTGAACTAGATCTAAGAAGGACTTCATTGACTACCAAGTCAATACTACTCATCCTCCAGTCATCAAGTAATAATGAGATGATGAGGAGACTCATGCTAGACAAGCGACATGAAGAGACCTGTATTAATACTTATCCCAACTATCACCTCATACAAGACAGAGTAGAGTGGAAGTACTAATCACTCTTCATTTGAATTTATTAAGAATCTCTTGATACAACAATTATTATACCAAGTTAGTTCATCTTCACCAATAAGCAACCAATCAGAATACACTACTTTACATGGTAGAAGGGGGACCAGTGGTACATTATATTATCATCATAAATCTAACACATAAACATCTCTTGATCTCTCATCAATCTACCAGTATTTCTCTCTCCAGTATATACAGTGTATACTGTACATTCCTTCTCTTTCTGACACACACTCATGTCACTGTCTCTGTCTTTTTGCTGTCATCATTTCTTTCTATTTCCCTCTCTTTCATTTCTATCTCTCCCTCAGTCTTCAATAACTTTTCTCTAGCTGACCTTCCTCCATTTCAGCAAATCAGTCTTAGGATAAAAATATAAAGAATTTATTTTTAACATAAATTTTTGAACAATTACCGTATAGCCAAAAAATTTCGTGAGGAATAAATTTTCGTATTTTCGTGATTACTGCTTGAATCACGAAAAATTAAACCCCCGAAAATAAATATTAATTGAGAGGCGTGGTTAACCACGCCTTAGACTAATAAACGTGCCCTCGTGTCAAATCGTGTTCTCGGTCAAGCTGATGTCTCTGTTACTCTGTATTGCTATTTTAAGCATACTGCCTAGGTCAAAGATGATCTTCCCCATCTCTGGTGTCCACACTGATTTGTAGACATGGTGCCCCTTGACACAAGAGTCCGTCTCAAACCATGTTTTAATTAAATAAGGCGTGGTCATTATTATTATTATTATTAAAATAAAATCACGAAAATATTTATCACGGAATTTAAAATTTCTCCATAAATTTCATTATTCACGAAATTTTAAGCCTCGAAAATTTTTGGCTATACGGTATACTTTTTCTTTTTTCTAAAATTAAGATGGCATCTAGTTAAATTTATTGCAGCAAATAATGCAGAAAACAGGTGCCATGAATGACTTGTTAGTTCTACATGAATATTGATACCATATAGCCACAAAGTTTTGAGGCAATAAACTTTCGCGAATCGGGCCACAAGTCTTTTTTTGCGAATTAACTTTCGTGGTTCTCATTTAAAGTACACATTTTTATAGGATGATACGGATAATTTTACGGAATTAACTTGCACAGATATGGAAAATCCACAAAAACAGCAAAAATTATGCCCTCAAAATTAAGTGGCTATATGGTACTACTAACGCCATAACTCCTCCTCTTTCTAATCTCACTTCAATAGCATGATTAAAATAACAAAATCATAATTACACATGTATAAAAATAAATAATGGAAATAAAAAAGGAGGGAAAAGAAAATATAATAACAAAAAATAGTTCACATTCACACATACAAAATGATAAGAAATATCCTCACATTAATTTAATGAGTCACACAAAAACTAAGACTCATCCTGTGCTTGTTCACAGGTTGTAAGGACTATAAATAGATGATATGATATTTCTCTTCCTGAGGATGTAACCTCAAGTTTAAAATCCTAATAAAAATAACAATGATGTAAAATTTAATGCTAAAGAAGGGAGAGAAAAAAAGAAAGACGTTTTCTCACTTTTCTGATGCCATCCATTCTTCAACTGTTAAAGGTACCGTACTAGTACATGTATGTGTCTGTCTGATGGTATCCTAATGCCTGAATAATAAAATAATTATAATTGGGTCGAGCAAAAGCAAGTGCCACTTAAGTGAGAGGTAACAGAAAAGAAGAGCAAAACTTCAGACATTTTCTATTACAAAATTATTTTTAGTAGTGAATTCACTAGTAAAATAATTTTAATAGAAAATTTTTAAAAAGTTTTGCTGTTCTCTTCTGTTACTTTGTGCTGCTCCAGTTAGTCTGTGAATTTCTCCTTTCATATTCTGTTTACTAGAGTCACTCCTCCTCCTCCTCCTGATTTCAACTGACAGAATTCTTCTTTTAATTGTCTTTGGTTCTCCTATTAATATCTCAGCTCATGCTTTAGTCAATGCCTATACGGAGAAAAAGGGAGAGAGAATAAAAATAGAGAATTATTTAATGAGTATAATTTACTAGCTACATGTACTTTTAATATCACAGGTACTATTACATGTACAGTGTACATACATGTAAACGAGACACCTACGGTGCATGGCCTCGCCCCTATAGCTGCTATGGTGCATGCCCGCACTGCAATAGCTGTTTGATTATCAACATGAAGAGAGTCTGCTCAACACTAGCTTCCTGCAGTTGCACTTGCTCTTGAATACCTGCAGAAGTAGCAGCACTGCAGCACATACATGCAAGCAGCTCCAGCCCCTCCCATGCATGTAGATTGAAAGGTGTGGCATTCCATCATAACTGGAATGATTGGCAGCAAGAAGACCATGTGAGAAAGAAGCTTCACTTTTTCTTTACTAATCAGCAATATATGATAAACTTGCTGACAAAAAAAGTTGCTGCCTTTGTATATTTGAGATAGTATAGGTACTTTAGTACCTATAACCCAGCAAGTTGTTGCTCTAGCGCTGCACAAACGAGTGACCTCAACAATTTCAAGTCAGTATAACTCTTCATCAAGTAAGATTTAGAGAAATCTGTTCATATTATTTGAAGGCCATGTTCTAATCTACTGAAAAATGCTACCATCTATTTCTAAAGTGCTAACACAACGGAACTTGGCCCAACTACTCGATTTTCTTACTTTGAAGCTTCTGTACCTAGCACTTGTATTTGAGCAACACAAAACAGTTAAGAAAGACTTTTCCACGCCAAAAAGAAAGATCTAGGAGCTTGAAACATGCTGTGCTAAAGTTATTGTTTATTAAAAACAAATTTCAGTTGTACAGAATGAATGAATGACAGACAGACAGACACAACAACTACCTATACCTCGCGTAGGCGAGGCCAATTATAGCATGAGGACTGACATCAATATGTAATAACAGCAATTGTCAGGCTACAGTAAATTAATGTCATTGCAACACACATTTAAATTAAATCATTTAATTAAAAGGTTGTCTTTATTAATTGAGCAGAAATTGGTCAAAGCTGACCTGATGGACCAGGTTTCCTATGATACTCATGAGTGACCATTTCATAAAAAAGGCAAATCAAATCAAGCAATGTTCGTAGTTCGTACACAGTGTTTGAACAATGATTGAATGTAATTTCAAGCTATACCAATTAATAACTATTAATCACTATTAATAACTCACTAATGGAGGAACGTGAGTATTTCTCCAGTCTGTCATTTCTGTCAGGTCAGGGTCTGTAGAGAGACACCCTTCACCCTCGTCAACTTGTCATAGATTAGATCCTCTTTGAAAGGACTAGGAATATACTCTGACCCCCTTGAGTGAATAATTTTAGACCCTATATGAAACATAAGTTAACTATTAGTCATACCATTTTCAAATAAAAATATACATGTGCATATATGTGTACAAATTGAAATTTGTACATGTATTTTAAATTTACATATACATGTATATGTACTATATATGTACATGTGAGCTGATTTCAGAGCCACTTTTTGGAAAAAAGCAAATCCTATAATCTTCGCTTTTTCTGAATTTTTGCTATTTATAAAATAGACATAACTCAAAAACTTTTAGCTGGGATTAGCTCAAACTTCGTACAAAATAAGGGCATACGTATGTAAGCATAAAAAAATGCAATAAAAATTGGGGGTGATTTTGAAGTCATTTTTTGAAAAAATGGGCTACAGTACAGGGTATTTTCAGAAATTTTCCAATTTAAAAAAATGGTCATAACTCAAAAACTTTTAGTCAAAACTGGCTAAAACTTTCAACACAAAATAAAGACATCAGAAACTGCAATAATATTGGAGATCATTTCAAAGCCATTTTTGGAAAAAACCATGAGGTACATGTACATGTAATAGTACAGGTATTTTTCAGAAAATTTGCCAATTATAAAGACTTTCAGTTGGAATCAGGTCAAAATTTTTATACAGCAAAAGGACATCAATAATCAATCAGAAAATGTAATAAAAATTAGGAGTGATTTTGGAGCCATTTTTCAGAACAAACCATGGGCTATAGGTTAAAGTATTTTTCAGAAACTCGCCAATTTTAATAAATGCCCATAACTCAAAAAACTTTTAGTCGGAATCAGCTCAAACTTTCTAGAATGCACACATAGTCAATAGTCACATACATGTAATGATGAAATGGTTTGGTAAATGTGACATTATACACATGACACATTAGATGCTGTTTGAAACTATTACAGTCAGTCTTACTTGATAGAATGTTTCATTGATATAATGGTAGAGTAACCAGTCATAAGGTATGAAAGATCTTGAAGGCATTGGGGTCTAGAGCTACATGTACATGCAGTTAGTGTGAATATACACGTACATGTAATAATGATATGATATCAACAACTTGAATACCTTTAATATAGCCTAGATGCGCTAACTTTTGTATTGTAATAAGAACTGGCGGATCTTGTACATAAAATGTAAAAAGAGGAGCATTACAATAATAATCCTAAAAATATTAATAAAATACATGTTCATGTAGGTACCACCTACTACAAGTATACGTTATAAAATTTTGTGGCACAAATGTTAACAATTAACTTTCATCAAAATTTAAAATTTTCTCTACTTTACATGTACCATATACTGAGATATTTTCACATCGCTAAATTTTTTGCGAATTTTGCATTTGTAAAATTTCCCGAAATAATATTTTCACGAATAGCTTGTAAACTCCACCATGTGGCAATGTAAATTCATAATTTCACAATTTTTATTTTCGCGACGGAGCAAAAAAAGCGAAATCCGCGAAAATTTGGCTACTCAAAAATTTCCCAGTATACGGTATACATGCACATGTACATGACATGCATACTAATTAGATATGCTTCAATTGGCAATAGTAGGCTAATGCAATTACTTTAGTTACTAATTAATTGTTCACTATTAAATCTTGTGATAAATCATTAATTATACATGCATTTCATAACAAAATAAACCGGCAAACCCAACTGCCCACATCAGGCACACCGAGGCTATGAAATGGGATTTGGAGTATAGAACATGTACATTATTGAAGTTACAAGTTCCTACGAGGAAGTAAATGAAAAAAGAATAAAATGAGAGAAATGAGGATAAAATCTAAGTATATCTAGGATGAACTTTACCTGGAAGATTCAGTACTAACTCCGAGACTTACCCAGTACCGCCATATCAACCACGCCTACCTAATGGCTACTCGTTTTGTGCTCTGAGACCAACCTGTGTCCCCATCTGATTCTTTGCCGGTTTAAATTTGTTTTTACCGGCCACAAATCCAGGTTGTTGCTGTGTTGTCTCTGTGTAGTGTTTTCTGTTTCTTCCTGTAGCTAGATCGTCACTTAAAAAGAAGACACGTGCTGTCACGATGGCTTCCAAGACTGAACACTCGTTCTAAGGTTATGACAGCTCCTATTGATTCTCCTGGCAAGAGGACCACTGTCGGGTCAAAATCACGAAAGAAGACTAACAAATACTGCTGCCCAATTTGCCAAGATGATATTGATGATGATTGTCAGGACTCCATTTTCTGTGAAGGGAATTGCCAAACATGGATTCATCGTGGCTGTGGTGGTCTGTCCAAGC